AGGCAACAAACTTTTAAAAACTCAGCATTAGTAGCAGGTATTAGTGATAATCATGTGAATGCATCATGAAAAGAGAAGATTGTTGACTTAGAGCTTATATTACAAGTTAAAGCACAAGTTTGTAGTCCAATTGACTCAATGGCGTTGGAATGGGCAGGATTAGGTATAGGCAAACATGCAAAATATATCAAATACTTCTGTCCCAACTCTTCAATGATTGCACCTATTCTCTCTACTTTTCAAATAGCTATGACTTCTTTCATAAACTCTCTCCTATTCTTCTATCAAAACCAACCGTCAGGAAAGGATCTGCTATCAATCATTGCCACCTTACTGAAACTGAAATAAACATTATCTTTCCCAGGAGCATTTGAATTTTAAGCCTCACTTCTAATTGTGGAATGAAAGCCTTTATCTCCTGTTAATGGAATTAAGGGCATAGAGGGGTACCTTAGGGATCAGCAGCAGAACATCCTTTCCAAAGCCTATGAAATCATACCATGTATGGCAATTATTTGTTCTGTATATGGATAAGGATATCTCTGGGAATAGGTGTAATGGTCTATCCATAGAATATGTCCTTAAATGATGGATTAGAAAAAGAGTAGATAATGGAGGGTAGGAGAGAAAAATAGATTAAATAAAATAAACAAATAATAAACTTTAGTATATTTAAACCTACACAGTATTTAAAAATACATTTAATCACTTTGTAAATTATTATTAAAGAAACAGAAATATGTATATTACTTCACAAGATCTCAGAAGCCGTTTTAGCCATGAATGGAATTTACTCAACATGAATGGAAATCCCCTATATAAAATCCTTGACGGTCAGTCTTGCTTGATGGCATCCTAGTAAAGGAGAGCTCTCTAACTCCAAAGGCAATCCATTCAACTTTTGTTTAGCACTGATCTAGGCATTCTCCTTCTAAGAGACGTTCTGCATTCCCCTACTACATAGATGAGAACAGTTTCCTTTAAGCTTTTAGCCGGAGCAAGCTGTGACTTCAGAACTCTCAGACTGGGATAATCTTGCTCTTTTTCCTGCTCTCTTTTCCCAGTCAGCATACAGTGAGAGTAAAGATTAACTCTTAGCAATATACCATGACCAGAACTGAAAGGGGAGAAAGGATTCCTTCCCTTTACTTCTCACCTTTTGGAAACCATGACCCTGAGAAATGGGTTTGAGGTGTTTCTGTTTTTGATCTGTTCCTTTTGTCCCTCAGTTCTATGTGAAGTCAGTAATCTCCACTAGACCTAGGAGTTTGAGACACGACGAAAACCCATGGCATCAGGATTCAAGGTGGAACATTGTAACCAGTGATGACAGGCAAGATCTGAGAGGTCACGGTGCCTGAGACTTGAGTCCAAGAAAGGTTTGGACTTGGAACTTGGCGTTGTGCTATGTAGGATTTGAACTAAATTGAGAAACTAAACCCCTTCTCCACAGTATGAAGTAGTGTGGGAGTTTCTTTTTCTAGGGGGGAGGGGAGAGACTATTTGCTGTTATGCCTTTGAACTGAAAAGTCCAAATCCGAAGGCTGAGTAGCTAAATGGAATTGGGGTGCAAATGACCTCCCGCATTTGAGGGAATGCTATTGATGGGGACCAGAGCCAATGGCAGAGAGCCTAACCACCCCAAGACCCCATTAAGGGGATCAGAAAATTCAGGGGTGAGGTTAAATATAATGCAACTGGCCTTCAGGTGGTGGGAATCAAGATAGTTATTGTGTTTTCCTTAAGCCTAAGTGTACCTCTCTAGCCTCCATCTGTTGTTCCTTTAGTTCTGGCCTTTGGGATAAATTAAAAATAAAAAGGCTTTAAGCATGAACTAGAATAGACTTATACAGCTTCATATACTATATCCTACATTGCTTTAAGTATCATTCTAATGTAGTATAAAAAGTACTGGGCTTGGAGTCAGGGAGAACAGGTTTCAATTCTTAACCCTGACACGTAGTAGCAGTGTGACTTGACAATGGACAAGTTGCTTAAACTCTGTTTCCTCCTCTGTATGATGGATATAATAATAGCACCTACCTCACAGGGTTGATTTGAGGATCAAATGAGATAATATATGACCTTTCCGCATCCTTTGACACTATTGATCACTCTCCTCTCCTTGATACTCTCTCTCTCTCTCATTTTTCTCATTCTAGTTTTTCAGGACACCATGCTTTCCTGGTTTTCCTCCTACCTTTCTTTCTCTATCTCTTTTGCTGGATCCTCCTCCAGGTCAAGCCTTCTAAACACAAGTGTCTCTCGAAGTTCTATCCTTGGCTTTGTCCTCCATCTCTACTATTTCACCTGGTGAACCCATCAGGTTTATCTCTGTTTCACTTAAACCCCCCTGCTCCACCTTTTACAATCTAGGAGTTATCCTGGATTCCTCACTATCTCTCACCCTCCCATATTTAAACTGTTGCCATGTCTGTTTGATTTTAGCTTTGCAACATCTCTCATTTCCACCCTCTCCTTTCTTCTGATACTGCCATCATTCTAACATAGGCTCTTACCACTTCATTCCCGGATTACTGAAATAGCCTGCTAGGGGTGGTCTGCCTGCTTCAGGGCTCTCCCCACTCTATTCAGCCACCAAAGTGATTTTGCTAAAATGCAGGCCTCACAGACAGCCTTAGTCAATTATCTCCAGTGGCTTCCTGTTGTTTCTGGGAACAAATGAAAAATCCTCTGTTTGGCATTCAAAGCCCTATGTAAACTAGCTCCTTCACACCTTTCCAGTCTTCTGACACCTTACTTCCTGACACACACTCTTCAGTCTAGTGACACTGGTTCATCTTACAGTACAGTAGCTAGCAAGTACAGTCCCTGGCATATTGTAGGTGTTTAATAAATGTTTATTAATTTATTTATTGATCTAAATAACTGCAAGATTTATAGAACTGTATGTTGTCTAGCTGTTATTATTTTCACTAATAGAGAGGCTATGGCTGATAGAGGTGGAAAGATTTCTATATAATGTTAAAAACAAAAACAAAACACAAATCCTTTGAGAATCATGGTATGCTGTCATGGCTATCATGCCATACTATTAACTTGTATTTAGCTTGTAGTCTACTCACTCCTTTTTTTTAAAGGCAATTGGGGTTAGGTAACTTGCCCAGGGTCACACAGCTAGCAAGTCTCAAGGCCGGATTTGAACTCAGGTCCTCCTGACTTCAGGGCCAGTGTTCTATCCACTGCGCTGCCTAGCTGCCCCTACTCACTCCTCTTAATTCACCCCCCTCCACCCCCCACACCATATTTTGTAGTCTAGTTAAACTTTATCTAATCTGCTTATGTGTCACTTTTATACCACTTTCAGGTATCATTTGTCATTGCCTCAACCTTTCAAAGAATCCCACTGAACTTTAAGATGGTCAAGGGATCATCAAATTCTAGATTTATAGCTAGAAGGGAACTTTGAGGCCTTCAAATGCAACCCCACCCCATTTTTACAGATGAAGAAACTAAGATTGAGAGAAGAGTAAGTGATTTGCCCTGGTTCACATAGCTGGCAGTTATCCGAGGCAGGATTGAACCCATGTCTTCCTGAATTCAAAGCACCCTGTCCTTTGTGCTATGCCACCTCTCAGGGGATGCTGGGTGAAATGTTAAAGAGTGATAAATCAGAGAATGACTTGAAAATGGGCTTAAAATCTTCTAATCCAACTTTCTAATTTTACAGAAGAGGAAAGCCATAAAGGTTAAGAAACTTGCAATTGTCATGCAGCTCGTGACTTGTAAAGTTAGGGCTAGGGGTAGAACCCTGATCTCCTGACTCTCCAATTTTCTTTTAGCAGTCCCATAGTTACATGTCAAAAATCTTTTATCTGGGGCCAAATAACTACATTTACACTTTTAAGGGCAGACATCATGCTATGAAAACCATGTATTCATCACTATAGTCACAAACGGATTGAAGACATGTACTTGTTCTCAATAAATTACTTTTGAATGAATTAACGAATCAATGGCATTAGACGTAGATATGATTTAATTTCAATAAGTCTGATTTACTTCAAGTGGTTGTTGTTTTAACATTTCTTGACATTTATACAAGTCTAATGAAAGATTCTAATCAATCCACATCGTCTTCTACTCAAACCCAAATTGACAAAACTGATGAAACTCTCTTCCATGACCGGTAAAGATTTTAAGTATGCAACATATACTAAGTTATAATTTTAAATGTATCATATTAGTTGTTTATATCTTCTTTTCCTTTACAATTATTTTTCTAATCAAAGCCTGGTAAGAAAAAAAAGTCTTTGTTGATTGTTGTGCCTTTCCTCTGTGCTCATCTAACCCTGTCCTCTCTCCCCCCGCCACTCACCATGAAAGTCTTGGCATAATTCTTTCATTTTTCCATTCTATTACCTCTTACTTTATCATTTGCTCTTTTACTCGTTAAAATAGCTGCTTGACGATGGCATCTCTTGTTGCAATGTTATAGATATGTTAAGTGGAGCATGACGAATGAATTCTGTAATTTGAAAAGCTACCAGCTATCAGGTAGCAAGCAATGACTCTTGCCACTTTTATTGGCTATTAAAGGTACTTTTACAGCACACACTGCTGCAGATATGCCATCTCCCAACTTTGAAGATAGATGCACTAAATTCCAAGTGGTCCTTTGGGATACATCCCTACAGCATTTGGTTATGAAAATGAAGGGAACAGTCTTACTTTGGGAATGGAGTTGGGGGTGGGGATTGATGGAATTGAAAAACCTGTTTACTATTGGTTTACTGCATGCTGTATTTTATAGCTATTCCGTCTACAGTATAACACCATTCCTGGCTTACTGAGATGGTTTTTACTTAAAGCATTTGGATCTGGAGGTCAGAGGTATGGAAATCTTTTGAATACTAGCCAAACCTTCAACACACACACACACACACACACACACACACACACACACACACACACACACACAGATACACATGCTGCAGGGCGTGGGGTGGGGGAGGCGGAAACAGGAGAAGGAGACTCACCCATAGAACTTTTTATTTTCGATAAGTTGTGTCCCCTTGAAAACGCTGGTATTTCTCTTCTTTGTAGTTGTGACATCCTTTCCTCAGAGGTGACGGATATAGCTATGAATGGATTATCAGCTTAATTGATCAAATCTAACTTTAATTTGAGACTACTGATTTTAACAGATTAGGACACCATTCATGTCATTCATAGCATCCACAGACCATAATAATTACTATGAATTCAATTATACTTTAAAATTTCCACCAATTTTCCATTATTATAAGTGGAAAGGTCCATGAGCTTTCCTGTTATTTCCTTCCTCGCTACTTTGCCCAGATTTTTGATACTTGTGTTTGCTCAATGTATTTTTTTTTCTTTTGACAGCAAGCTGGGTGATTTAAATTCAATAGGCTCTAAAAGTTATTAGGAAGCAAATAATTGCAATTTAAATTCCTCTCCTGTAAATACAATGTGCCACCATAATTCATTAGTACTTATATTACAATATCTTCATGCCAAGTTAGTAGACATCATAGCACTGATTTCCATTACATTAGGAGGACTTAACCTTGTGGGGGCATTTATCAAAAATAATTGGTAAGATTTGGACTCCTTCAGATAAGAGCATCACAGTATAGAAGTGAAGTTCTAATGAAATATAATGGAGTGCCCAAAAAATTAAAAACAAAAATACTTTTTTCTTGTTTAGAACTGTATGGTTTTATTTTTTCCCAATTAAATTGTGTGGCTCATTTTCAAGTAATTATCCTCTTCTTGCAATTAAGGTGAATTGCTGCTTTAATTACACAGCACCCTTTTTCATGTATAAATACCTAACATTATTAAAATCATCTCTAGATTTTCTCGTGAAAAATTATGGTCATTCCAATATTGTCAGCTGAATTCATTTAGTTGGTTTTAAAAACAGGAGTGTCTGTGCCACCAGTGGTGACCCGAATTCATTTAATCTGTTTTCTCACAGTGAGCCACATTAGTATGAAAGCTTGCTTCTGTTAGAAAATGTTGCTATTTTATGTGCAGATTAAGCTAGAAGGTGGATTTATTGAAATTGCATTATCTCATTTCTCCTGATAGCTACCAATCCTAAGTCATGACCAGGTGTAATTTTGTAGCATGAACAGGATCACTTGTAAAGTGGTATGGGAAAGTAAGAAAAAAGTAGGAAGGAAGATCAAAAAGGTCTCTGAAAATTATAATAATATAAAATAGCCATTTACAAATTTTAAAAAGGAGGAATTCTGGTGCCAAGATGGAGTGAGGAAGGAACCCTCCGAACCCCTCCAAAATTCCCTTCCAAACAACTAGAAAACTGCCTCAGAACAGATCTAGGAGCAAGAAAGCAGCTTACCAGCACTTCAGGAAAGGTCTGTTTCACTGGGAATGGAGGGGAACAAGGTCCAAAAGCAGCAGCAGCAGCCAGCCAGCCTCATAACATGGGACCTGCAGTAAGGCTCCAAGCCTAGAACAATCCACCAATGAGTCCCTGCCTTCCTGCAAACTAGCAGGCCCCTATGCAATGAGTAATCTGTTCAGCACAGCAAGACCTTCCCTAGCCACCCCTTCTCCAGAGAGGTCTGCTGACCAAGAGTGAAGCCCCACCCCAGGGCTGGCCAACAGAGAGACCTCGCCCCGGGCCTGCCAGCAGAGGTACCTTATTTCCATAGCAACCAAGCAGCAGGGCCCTATGCTTGGGGCAGGCCAGCAGTTAAACTTCACACCCAGGGGAGGCCAACAGGGAGCACCCTGCTTCCCGTTCAAGCCAGAAGGGTAACTTTCCCTCTAGTAAAAGCAAATAGCTAAGCCCTGAAGCCCAGTGAAAGCCAGCAGTAAGACACTGAGCTTCAGCACAAAATGCTCAGGACAATGAAGGACCAGAGCCAAACTCATACATAAAAACACCGTAACAAAAAAGGAAGAAAAAAATGAATTAAAAAAAAAAAAGAACTACAGAAAATTGTAATGGTGACAGGGAGGATCAAGGCACAAACTTAGAAAAGGACAATAGTGTCAAAATTGCTACATGTGAAGCCTCAATGAAAAATATCACTTGGCCTCAGGCCCAAAAATAATTCTTGGAAGAGCTTAAAAAGGATTTTAAAAAGCAAATTAGAGAAGAAGAAGAAAAATTGGGAGAAAAGAAATGAGTAATACAAATGAACAATGACAAAAGAGGCAATAGCATGGGGAAAGATATACAAAAATTTACTGAGGAAAATAACTGACTAAAAGATAGAATTGGCCAAATGGAAAGGGAGTACCAAAACTCACTGAAGAAAATAATTACTTTAAAATTAGAATTGAGCAAGTGGAAACTAATGACTCTATGAGACATGAAGATACAATAAAACAAAATCAAAAAAGTGAATTCTTCATTGGAAAAACAACCAGAAAATAGATCCAGGAGAGATAGTATGAGAATTATTGGACTACCTGAAAGACATGATTAAAAAAAAAAAGCCTAGACAACATCTTTCAAGAAATTATCCAGGAAAACTGAACTGATATATTAGAACCAGAGGACAAAAATAGAAATTGAAAGAATCCATTGATCATTATCTGAAAGAGATCCCAAAATGAAAACTCCCAGGAACATCATGGCCAAATTCCAGAGCTCATAGATAAAGGAGAAGGTGCTGCAAGAAGCCAAAAAACAATTCAAATGTTGTGGAGCTACAGTCAAGATTACATAGGATTTAGCAGCTTTCAATTTAAAGAGCCAAAGGGTTTAGAATATGATATACTGGAAGGAAAAGGAGTTAGGATTATAACCAAGAATCACCTACCCAGCAAAATTAACTATAATCCTTCAGGGAAATATGTACATTTACTGAAATGGAGGACTTCCAATCATCCCTAATCAAAAGACCGGAGCTGAAAAAAAAATGACCTCCAAATTACAAGACTTAAGGGAAACATAAAAAAACATTAAATAAGAAACAAGAAAGAGAAAACATAAGAAATTCTATAAGGTTAAACTGTTTATATTTCTGTATGGCAAGATAATATTTGCAACTCTTAAGAATTTTATTACTGTAAGAGCAATTAGAAGGAGCATATATAGACAGAGGGTATCAATAGAAGGTGACTTTGATGGGATGACACCCCCCAAAAACAAAGAGAAAACAAAATAAAGGGTAAGAAAGAAAGTTTCACTGGGAGGAGAGGGGAAATTGAATGGGGTATATAATCCCATATAAAAGAGGTATGAAAGATCTACTATAATGGTGGGGAAGATGGTGGGGGTGGCAGTCAAAGCTTAAACTTTACTCTTAACAAAATTGGCTCAAAGAGGGAATAACAGACACACTCACTTGGATATAGAAATCTATCGTCCCCTATAAGGAAGTAAAAAGGGACAGGGATAGTAGAAGGAGGAGGAAGGACTGATAAAAAGGAGAGTAGATTGAGAAGGTGGTGATCAGAAGTAAAACACTTAGGTCAGGGAAATGGTTGGGGGTGAGGGGGGGAAGGAGAGAGAGAGAGAGAGAGAGAGAGAGAGGGAGAGAGAGAGGGAGAGAGAGGGAGAGAGAGAGAGAGAGAGAGAGAGAGAGAGAGAGAGAGAGAGAGAGAGAGAGAGAGAGAGAGAGAGAGAGATGAACAAGGGGAAATGGCATAGAGGGAAATACACATTTAGTTATCATAACCATAAATGTAAATGGGATGAACTCAACCATTAAACGGAAGAGCATAGCAGAATGGATTAAAAATCAGAATCCTACAATATGTTGTTCACAGGGAACATACTTGAAGCACAGAGATACATACAGGGTAAAGGTAAGGGGCTGAAGCAGAATCTATTGTACATCAGCTGAAGCAAAGAAAGCAGAAATAGCAATCATGATCTCAGACAAAGTAAAAGCAAAAATAAATCTAACTGAAGAGATAAGGAAGGAAACCATATCTTGCTTAAAGGTACTATAGATGAATTCATATCGATACTAAACATACATGTACCAAATGATGTAAAATCTAAATTTTTGAAGGAGAAGTTGAATGAGCTACAGGAGGAAAGAGATAATAAAACTATACTAGTGAGGGACCTCAACTTTCACTTCTAAGAACTAGATAAATGTAACCAAAAATAAACAAGAAAGAAGTTATAGAGGTGAATAACATTTTGGAAAAGTTAGATATGTTAGATTTCTGGAGAAAATTGAATGGGAATAGAAAGGAATATAACTTTCTCACAGCAGTATGTGGCACGTATACAGAAACTGACCACATATTAGGACATTAAAAACCCCACAATTAAATGCAGAAAAGCAGAAATCATAAATGCATCTTTTTCTGAGCATAATGCAATAAAAATTACCTTCAGTAATGAACAATGGAAAGAGATTAAAAATTAATTGGAAATTAAATAATCCTAAAAAAAGTGGATCAAAAAACAAATCTTAGTCACAATTAATAATTTCATTTAAAAAATGACAATAAGGAAGCAACATGCCAAAATTTATGGGATGCAGCCAAGACATATTTAGGGGGAAAATGTTTATCTCTAATTGTTTACATCAATAAAATAAAGAAAAAGCAGATCAATGAATTGGGCAGGCAACTAAAAAAAAAGTAAAATAAAGAACAAATTCAGGATCCTCAATTAAACACCAAATGGGAAAGCCTGAAAATGAAAGGGGAGATTAATAACATTGAAAGTAAGAAAACCATTGAACTAGTAAGTAAAATTAGAAGCTGATTTTATGGGAAAAAACAAAATAACTTTTAATCCAATTTAAAAAAAGAATAAACCCAAATTCCTAGTATAAAAAACAAAAAGGGTGAATTCACCACCAATGAAGAGGAAATTAGGACAATTACTAAGAGCTATTTTGCCCAGTTGTATGCCAATAAATTTGACAATCTAAATGAAATGGATAAATATCTGCAAAAATATAAATTACCTAGATCAACAAAAGAAATAAAACACTTAATAACTGAACCTTAGAAAAAAGAAATTTGAAGAAGCCATCAGTGAACTTCCTAAGAAAAAATCCTCAGAACCAGATGAATTCACAAGTGAATTGTTCCAAACATTTAAAAAACAAAAACAAACAAACAAGTGAACAAACAGTTAATCCCAACACTATATAAACTATTTGGAAAAACAGATAAAGAAGAAGTCCTACCAATTCCTTTTGTGACATAAATTTAATGCTTATACTTAAACCAGGAAGAGCCAAAACAGAAAAAGGAAAGTATAGACCAATTTTCCTAATGAATATTGATGCAAAAAATTTTAAATAACACACTAGCTAAAAGATTACAGCAATATATTACAAGGATAATACACTATGACCAGGAGAGATTTATACCAGGAATGCAAGGCTGGTTTAATATGAGGAAAATGATCAGCATAATCAATAACAACAACAGAAATCATATGATCTCAATAGATGCAGAAAAAGACTTTGACAAAATACAGTACCTATTGTAGAAAAACTTGTTTATATTCTAACTTCCTTTTACACAAAAATGATAATTTCAAAAGATCTAATTTTAAGATAAGTCCCCTTTAAAAATTTTTGTCCATTGTATTAACTAAATTTGCATTTAAAATATCAATGCTATTTTTAACTTTGATAATAACTTAGAGAAGCAGGTGGTTTACTGCATAGGCAACTATCACTAGGGCCAGGAAGATGTGGGTCATTTTCTTACTTAATACAAACTCTGTCTTTATGAGAATGAGCAAATAATTTATTCTCTTAGTACCCTATTTCAAGTTTAGGACTTGGAATCAATTATAATTGCCCAATTTTTCTTCATTCATATGTATGTATAGATACACGCATATATGGATCTACAGCTCTAAAGATATATAAATTCTATATAGATATAGATATCTAGATATAGATATTGATATATCAATCCATCTATCTATTCATTGATCTATTTATCAACATCTATCTATCTATGTGAGGGGAGAAACAAAGAAGGACAGAGAGAAAGACAGAAAGACAGAGAAAGAGTTGGCCCTGGCTTTTCTTACTTTAAGATAGCCAGATGTGTAGATTGCTAGATTTAGAGTGAAAGGATCTGAATTCAAATTCTATCTATAATTTTTATTAGCTCTGTAACCTTGGGGAAATCCTTTAAGTTTCCTTGACCTTAGGTTCATCATCAATAAGATGAGGAGGTTGGCTTCTAATGTCCCTTCTTGCTGCAAATATAAAATGCTATGATTCTAGCATACCAAAATATTCAACGGCAAATTCAGTTTTAATTCCTTTTTATTATTTTAAATTTGACCTGTGTAATTGTAAATTATTTTCCAAGTTTTTTTTAAAAATAGTTTTTCTTTTAATTTAAATGAGGGTGTGTATAACATAAAGTGCTCAATGGTAAACAAAATTACTTTGATGAAATAAATTTGTTTTATTTTGCATGTATATTTACCTCTCAAGAATGAATTAAGCCAGTTTGCTAAAATTTATATGCACATACCTGCAAAAAGAAGTACATTTCAAAAGGGTCTGAGATATTGTGGTAAATGAAAGAGGAAGTATTAATGATGACTTATTAAATGTAATTGATATAATCATGAGAATGTTATTTTGCTTGCTATTTTAA